TCACAGCCTGTGTAAGAGCTTAATCTGTGTTTTAATTACCAGTGTAAGCTTTTTGGTGTGGCTTATTAAAGACAAAATTAACTCAGTTGTAATTGTATTATTTGTATCACTGTCATAGAAATAGCTGCATATTTTTTGGACACTATAGCACTTCACTACATTGGTGAATGTGTAAGACCTGCATTATTGAGCATTCACTCCAGTGCCGACGCTCCAAGTTAGTTGTGTTTGTTGATGGCGTGCTGATACCGTATGGTCAGGCTCACATCATTGGACCATTGTTGCCTCAAATACAAGTCACTACTGGATTGTCTGGACCAGACAGCTGAGTGTGGTTCTAAACAACAAATACGCACACAATGAATCCAAACACTGACATACTGCATGATATAACTCAAACATTGTACAGAGTCATGTTAAACCCAATTCACTTGCTCTGTCCTAACTCACAGTAGTTGTTGAATTCGGTATTCATGAGTAATGTGTACAGCCTCAGGACCTCCATCACTTGGAGCAGTCTTCAAATTATGCTGACATGCCTTGACACAGAACGGAAATACTGTAACATGAGGGTTAACGCCAAGTCAATCAATTTGTGGCTATTGATCTGAGTAGGAGTTAGTTGTTGAGCTCATGAGAGAGTATACAGTCTGACAACTACTTCAAGTCTTTCCTCATGGAAGTACAGTACCATGATATTCACATCATGTACACGTGGACCCTTAGACCAAATGCACTGTCAAGCATAATGCAGTCCATTTGCAACTCTTCATTTGCTTACGATCGGACGGATGAGCGTGTCATGTAAAATACAAATGAATTAACATAGGCTATGTTGTTGGCTACTTGTACAGAGACAAACATTAACCCTGAAGCCTGATTGTTGCTAAATGTTCACCATTTTTGCTGGCCTAAGCAAACTTTCAACACCTGGAGTACACTGACTCTGGGCAGCAGGGTTAAGCAAATTTCTATTATTAAATTGTACAGACATTAGTTGTTCTTCAGCAGGTTGAATCAGACATGGCAAATGTCTGTTCGACTATGGAGACAGGTAATACCTGTGGTCAGAAACATAAATGAACAAAGAGGACTTTAATGTGTGTATTGATCGAAGCAGAGTCGAAAGGCCAATCCTTAGCCAGGGACCCCCAAAGCCTCTAGTATCACTGACACTTTCATCCATACAGAGTTTGAATAAAGAGGCGAGTGTGTGTGTATTAATATTTACATTTTATGTGTTTATACAGTATCAGAAACATGATACTATTCAGTCTGTTGAAATGGGGTGTGTGTCATCAAATCAGTTGTGTGAATATGTTGCATATATCAAAGTGTCAGGAAGAATGATAGAAGTATTGAAGAGACCTCCGGGGACCTTTGAGATTTGATACTATTGTATTGGGTTATGACAAGGACTCCTTGACTTCCAGGTAGTTAGGGTGGTGGAACCATGGGTTCCAACGCGTGTGATTAGCGAAGAATATTTCGGCTCATAAGGCGTGCATGCGTGTGTATGTATACTACAGGTTGCGTAGTAGCCCAGACTGAAGCTGGTTTTATAGTGCTAGCCCACTGTGATACCATGCGCAGGTGAAGCATGAATACCCCACCAGACACATTATACTGACACTGGGCTTCTCAGTCCTTGATGTACCCATTAATGCCGAGTTTTGCAGGCAGGACCAACAAGTACCGCTATATTTTAACGTCTCTTTTGGTATGGCGCGGTCGGGATCAAACCCGCGACCTTCCACTCTCGGTTCGCGCCTCATACTCACCGCGAGGCCGAGTCAAGGTAGTTAGGGGGCACAGGTGGTTGGCTCAAGCAGTGGTAATTGCATTCTCATACAGGGCTGAAACGAGAGAATCAACTTGTATCCTCTTGTCTTGGTTCACCTGGGGAAGTGATTGGGGTAGCCTGTTGGTTAAAAGCGTTTGCGCTCATCACACCAAAGACAGAGGAGTTCGATTCCCCATGTGTACAATATGTGAAGCCTATTTCTTGTGTCCCTTTGCCGTGATAGTGCTGAAATATTGTTAAAAGTGTTGTAAAACTAAACTCTCACTCACTAACTTAATCTCTTTGCTCACCCTGATGAGTGGTTGTTGATATGTCAGCACTTTTATAATGAGTAAAGTAATAAAACTTTTCAACACTGTAATATGTTTTGTCACTGCTGATCAAATGTCTTTGTTTCAAGTACATCAGAGGTCCGCCATATAGCAGATAAACAGATCATATATACGATATCAATAATATCAGGCTAAATTTGTCAATTTCTCTTTAACATTTTGTCTTTTTATATGTATCAATTATCCTCTTGAGTGTCTCAAGAAGTTGATATAATCAATAAATCATTGATCTGGAGATGAAGAAATTGATTAATCATAAGTAGTAGGCCATTAGAAGTAGGCAAGTAATGATCTGTTGAACTATCGTGGAATGGTTGCGTACTGTAAGATAGTACCATATCAATAGGAATTAATAAATGCCAATAGCTTCATTGAAAGGATGCATAACAATCGTGTCAATGGTTGCAATAAGTGAATAACTTATAAATGAATTTTGTGAATTTCCAAAATGGCCTTGGGGACAGATAGGCAGGATGTCAACAACTTCAGATTACAGCTACTTCCCATCCTGGTTCCAAAGAAGCAACAGGGATGAACATTTCAAACTTGCCAAGATTGACAGCAATACTGTATCCTGTTATGTTGATTAATACAAATTGTTAAAGGTCACATGCAACCAAAAATCAAACATAATTAAAACACAATTACAGTGGAAACCGCCTTAAGTAAAGACCGCTTAACTAAACATACCTGATAAGTAAACACTTTTCATTGGTCCCGGCAAATTTCTTCATGAATTATCACTATTAGAGTCTGGTTAACTAAACTCGGATAAGTAAACAATACACGGCTTAACTAAACGTCTCTCACGGTCCCTGGAAGTAAATTACTTAACAAAAGATACTGGATAACTAAATTAGCGATCACCACATAATCCAACATGAGGGGCAGTCGTGGTCAGTCTCCAGTCAAACAAAACATCCTATTTTACAGCTCGCTGGCGTCAAGCAGTTGACAATACACTGACAACTGGAGGCCAGCCCTGATAAGTTGTTCATTGTTACATATGGATACATATACATGCATATGGTAGTCATTTGCAGGTTTATAAGTTTGATAAGTAAAATACCTGATAAGTAAAACAATTTTGGCGAGTCCCTTGAAATTTTACTATCAGGTTTCCACTGTATCACTTATTCGTGACATATAATATACATTGCTGGTTATGAAAACATATAAACAAAATTATAAGCGTACAATCGCAAATCAAAAGTGCAATATTGTGTACTTTCGGGTTACTTCCTTAAGAAACGAAGAAGCCGGGATAACCGAACCCAGTCAGAGCGGGTGGGTGTGCACTCAAGTGTAACGGGCTGGTTCATTAGCAGATGCTCTCACGGCTCATTGTGTGTGTATATATAGAGATGTTGGGTTTTGTAAATACGTATGCTCATTGTTTGTGTATAACATTTTACAATCAACAGACATCATAACATGTCATGTGTTCAAGTATCACACCTGCCTGTCTGTGTAATTACATAATGTGACAGAGACTGGGCTCGGGCCATAAATCAATGCATTTTGTTTATGGTGTATAGCCTGATTGGTGTTAAGTTCAAATTGCATGTGGTCAGTGATAGCAGCTGTGTATTGAATATTGTCATTAGCAGACAGGCAGGCAGACACACAGGTGTCAATAATACAAGACATTGAGTTTTGTCTGTGACAACGCTTCACATCTATATCACAGTTAGAAATTCTGTCAACGCTAAATAATGACATTGCTTTTAAGTATCGAACTGAGAAAGTGACTCGGTAAGAAGAACGTAGGGTGAAATAGACAAATGAAATTATATAAACAGTTAATTTACTGTCATAACATATAAAAAGCTCGCGCTCTGTGAGATATCAACAAACATTAGAAAATAGCTCACACCAAAGCCTTCACTTCGAGTATTCACTTTTCAGACAACCTGGCTTCCAAGCTACGCGCGAACCCTATTTCACTCTTGCCTGCTATGAAGCAGCCCTAGCTATTGAAACCGAGTTAGTTCGAAAAGTCGGGGAAACTTAGTGAATTGTTTGAACTCCGATTTCGCGATTTTCATCATCGCTATTTTCCAACTTAATAGAGATTTGCATTTTTGATGATTTTTTCGTAAAGTCCATGCCGAAGGTATCAGAATCTGCAAAGTTGTGTTTTTACGTTGCATGTGACTTTTAAGGTTTAATTACTTTTAAAGTTGATTTACTTCTGTTAGGATACTATTTCAATAGTCAGTGTTCGCATGGTGTTTCAAAGTAATAGGACATTGGGTCCTGTAAGTTTAAGATGTCTGTCTGACCCATTGAAAATTCACAGGACCCATGGAATAAAATTAAACACACATTTCAGATTTACTATTTCTTATAATTGGCTTTGAAATTATTAAAACAAACAGAAGATAAAAGTTAAGATAAAATTAACGCAAACAAGTGTCACATGCCTGTCATATAACAACTTCAGTCAAAGTCATTGTGAAATATACAGTCGGACACTGGGGCCGGTGGGTTGTAGACTTCTATCGGACCATTGGCGAATCTGCCGGATTTGTCAGAGGGCCAGACACTATTCGCGAACACTGAATAGTGTGGGCTACTATTGCCATACAGAGTTGTCTACCTGGGTTGGAATCCTCACCTACTGCAACTTATTACTGAAAACATCCTGGCGAGTCGCCCAATTTATTACATGGACATAGGCAGAAACTAAAGAGAGGGAGTAACACGATACCAGAGTCACAATATGAAGATCCTATGATAGATTAACACACCCTTATCTGCATCTGCATCCACTCCACTCCACTCCACTCGATAAAGGTTATACTCAGTGTATGTTGCTTTTGTTGTTTAACAATGCATTTTATTGTTTCATCTGTTTAGAGGGTTCTACAGTTGACAGACAAGCAAGTGACAAAGAAAGGGTATGTCATCTTGAAAAGTCCATTCCAGGGCTGCATCTAGGGTGTTGGGGTAGCCTAGTGGTTAAAACATTTGCTCATCATGCTGAAGACCCTCGGTTTGATTAATCACATGGGTGTGAAACTAAACTCCACTCAGTTGTACCTGAGCTTTATTCTACATAAAACTGACACACAGAATATATACACATTAGCATTGAAGCCCCTCACCACAGTTGTCATCATGAGAGAAGAATAGTGTCACTAGTCTAACCTGAATGTTACAGATAATGTGTGATAACGCGTGCAAAGAGAGAGAGAGAGAGCACAAAGAGAAAATATGCTGGCCGTGAAGAGGTGACTTTGAACCGCCAAGTGGTCAGGCTTGACTGACACTGAAGAAAAGGGGTTGCTCCCTCCCGCCTTGTCATTGTACCCTCTGATTGCAATACGGATCTTTTGCTTACAATATCTATCACTGGATTGTCAGGTCCAGATTTATCTTCAGGCCACCATCATTCAACTTGAATTTTGCTGATGTGACAATAAACATAGTGCACATACTGTCAAGTATTTCAATAAATTCACTAGTGTTGTCATATGTAATTGACTGTCTATAAGATGTATGTGTGCCTCAGTTCTAAAACATATTATCTTCCAGTCATGCAGATGTTAACATTATATTCAAATTGGGACACATTTTTATCCATGATTTGATGGTGGTTGTTTATGTTCTACAGCAAAAAGAGTCTGCCAACGTTAAAAGATGTGGACTTTGTGAATGATGGCGTCACAATTCAAGTTGGACAAGAAGCCAAGGATAAACTCATGCCGACACATTAACAAAAGGACGCTTGAGGTATTGATACACAGTTGCTCAGATGTGATGATCCTCATCATAGTATTCCCAACATGTTTGTGTAGCTTGACCATCATGTATTCTGTGGGGAGTCTGAGAAATCTTTGAAAAACAATCTTCAAGGATGCTTATGATGATGTATGTTCCAGTAATATACACTGCCAGCGTAACTTTGATTCGTGGATAAAAGGAAGTGCTGCATTTAAATTCATATTTTAAATGCATGATTTCATTTTTGTATAATGCGACTGATTATTTTATTCATTGATTCAGCAAATTGAAAATGCCTAATATTCCACTCGCGTGAATGACACATTTGTTTTACGGAAGCCATTTGCTATCATCACCCATTAAATGGTGCCCACAAAATGTGACTTTAACCTTGTTTAGTGCATTACGTGGTCGGTTACTTTATACCACTATGTACGACAAAACACTGCAGTAAGTATCGACACCAAGGAAAGCAGACAACGAGAAGTGCGAAGGTTGGGGCTAACGGTATCTTTTTTACTTGAAATTTCGTAAAAATAAAATTTGGTAATGGTGGTATTAGTGATCTGGTGCTATTTATCTCAATGCTGGACAATTATATTTAGTGTACTTGCGTGTAATGCAGAGATTCAGAACTTTTTTATCAGCGAGGCGTGGCATTGTATGTACATCAAAAGTACCGCTTCGTGACGTCAGTCGAGAGTTAATTTACGAGCTAGCACAATAATATCCGCGATCCACGAATCAAGGTTATCCACGAATTTAGGTTACGGTTCTGTATATCTTGTGGATCTTTTGAGAATCTTCTTCATATTTTACTGAGAAGATAATTTTGTCTTGTCTGATGCTGGAACTTATTTGACCTTGAGTCGGCCGGTATAGTGGAAAAATGATCAGGGCAAGTGATTTCCATCCTAGCAGCTTTAAAGTTATTTCCATCCCTGAATACCCCAGAGCATCCTATGCTGCCATTGATTGCTGTCATCGTCTAATGGTAGCTCCATCCAACTGAGATGACTGTAGGTACTAGTCACCTATCTACATATAAAGTATATGTAAAATAAGATTTGTGTCACTGACTCTTTCACCAGGCAGCTTAGTTGGGTAGAAATGAATATTTCATACCTGTTTTCATTTTCCTAGTTGTTAAAGTACAGTTTGAAATCTACTTTTTCAGTTCTTGGCAAGCTTGCACCTAATGGACTACAGTCTCATTGTGGGCATCCACGACCCTGAGAAAGGTGATTCAGATCAGACCGACTTGCCAGCCCCTGACGATGGGGAGGAGGGGGCAGACGAGGAGGAAGAGAATGGGTTGGAGGAGGAGATGACTGATGGGTATGGAGCCGTCCCCACCCCACCGGACAGCCCCCAACCTGCCACACCCACCCCCTTCACAGGAGAGCTGGACTCCAAGCTGGAGCAGTATGCAATTAAAAGTAGTGAAAGTAAGTTTTAGTTTTGAGGAATCCCAGGGGGACTGGTTTAGAACTTCTACAAACACTGGTGACCCATGAAAATCCAGGTTACAATTGGTCTTCAACCCATACCTGTCTTAAGAGGCGACGTACGGGATTAGGTGGAGAGACTTTCTGAAGTGGTTAACACATGTCATTGTATCCTAATTGCGTAGATTGATGCTTATGCTGTTGATCACTGGAATGTCTGGTCCAGACTCGATTATTTACAGATGCCATATAGCTGGAATATTGCTGAGTGTGGCATTAAACAACAAGCAAACAAACACTGGCCTGTTGTTCGTATTTAAGGAGGGATGACAGTCTGTGCCAACACCAGTCTGTTCCAATTTGACTCTCAGCATTAATTTTAGTATGATTTGACGGTACTATGTGGACTACCAGACCAAAACAATTTTGATGGATTTGGGCTTTCCACAAGTGGATGAACTCAGAGACTGGGATCACATCGGATAGTGAGTGAGTTTACTTTAACCCAACACTCAGCAATATTCCAGCTATAGGCCAGCAGTCTGTATATTGGATAGAGTGGTCAGACCTAACGGCTGGGCAGATTTTGTCCTGTTGATCGCTGCTCTCCTTGTAAGTCACCACTTCCACCACCACATAGCCTGGATATTGTGTTAAGCAACAAACAATGTCATTTCGCCTGAATTCCTCCGATAGCAATTTCAGCTCTCATACGCCATCATCTTCCATTCCAGATCAAGAAATCTATTTCATGGCCCTCATTGATGTCCTGACAAAATACGGTATGAAGAAACGGACTGCACAGGCTGCCAAGACAGTCAAGCACGGGGCAGGGGCAGAAATATCCACGGTCAGGCCTGACCAGTATGCCAAGAGATTTCTGGAATTCATCTCCAAGAGTATCGAGTAAGCACAAGCCTACAAGGTGCACAGTGCACAGCCTCGTCCCAGGGAAGAGTCCTTTTGACTGTAGTACTGCAGATGAACTTACTGTGTAAAGGGTCCAACTGTCCTCTAGGTTGATACCTGTGTATGCATGGTCACCATGAAGGTGTCATATGGATTGAGAGTGTATGGACTTACGGTCTCAGTAGCAGTTATTTCAGTATGTGATATTCTGTTTTCTAAGGTTTTTCATTTTGTGATTATTTAGGTCACATGTTGGTGGAAAGACTTCTTCAGGGACTGGATTTTTTTAAAGTATGAACATTACTTCCTTTGTCGTTTGATCTTTGAATTCTTTTAAACCAGATTCATTTTAGAGTATTCCCCTTTTATCCTTGCCATTGTGGTGGTTGACTCCGTGAGAGAAGCAACACACAGTATCTTCCATGTTCATGTTGTGTGCATTTATGTATTTCAAAACCAACACTCTCATTTCACATGGAATCTTCCTGAATGTAGACGCAAGTACAATATCGTAGTGCCATTTTAAAACTGTCGCATTGCCTTTTAGGTATTTCTGTTTCACCTCCCAAATAATGAATCAGATATCCAAGAACTAGTTATTTCTAATATCTGTCTGTTTTCACCTCTCAGTTTTCATAGGGTTCAGAAATTGTAATATTTTCATTTTTTACATTTTTTCTCGTTTTAAAAATGAAATTATTCTGCAAATGTGCAATGAAAACTGATTGTGTTTTGTTTTTCACGTGACTGTTATCTGATGTTACACATGGATAACTACAATCACAAAACAAACATGAAGTTCCTGTTACGCTATCTTAGACTATGTAATGGTAATGGTTATACAGTTCATAAGGTGACAAAACAAACATGAAGTTCCTGTTACGCTATCTTAGACTATGTAATGGTAATGGTTATACAGCTCATAAGGTGACAAAACAAACATGAAGTTCCTGTTAATGCTATCTTAGACTATGTAATGGTTATGGTTATACAGCTCATAAGGTGACAAAACAAACATGAAGTTCCTGTTACTTATCTTAGACTATGTAATGGTAATGGTTATACAGCTCATAAGGTGACAAAACAAACATGAAGTTCCTGTTACGCTATCTTAGACTATGTAATGGTAATGGTTATACAGCTCATAAGGTGACAAACAAACATGAAGTTCCTGTTACTATCTTAGACTATGTAATGGTAATGGTTATACAGTTCATAAGGTGACAAAACAAACATGAAGTTCCTGTTACTCTATCTTAGACTATGTAAAGGTAATGGTTATACAGTTCATAAGGTGACTTACATTCAGAAACTCTTTACATTTTGTGTTCGGTACAACTTGATTATGTTTTGTTGTATGGGACCTTGTCCCGAAAGAGCCATGAGGGTGTTCTGCGCTCTGTTCAAAATGGTTATGACAATGGTTTAGATCTGGACCTCCTGCAGAATCACCATGTTTAGAGTTGGCCTTGATTTGTAATGCACTGAATGTCACCAGTGTGCTGGATCTGTCATGGAGGTTGTATGTGGGAAGGTTTATCCTAAATACTCCTGATGAAGAAGATGTGCAGTTGCCCTGTCTATCATTTTGCAGAGGAATCATGATTCACAAGGTAGAAATGAACCTGGAGAAGACCCAGGAGAATGTTATTCAGTATATTCAGTAGATGAGATCTACAACGTATCATGTCCAGTACTACCCACACTTCTTCCACTTCTGTCGCCATCCTTAATGACACATACACAAGATAAGTTGCCTGTCTAGTAGTACTAGTCACAAGGGCTTTTTTCTGTTAAATGTTATATTCATGAGCATAACGTCAGATACCATTGATACAATGGGTTCCTTCCCTTGATAGTTTGCTAGAGTTCTCAAAAAATCAAACTGTGATGAAAGTGTTGTTGTCCTGACAAACACTTTCTACATAATCACAAGTTTGGATGACCCTTGAAAATTATCAACAGAATAGAACCTGTATATTTCATTTCATTCTTCATAATTTTTTTTATCATATATGCCAAAACACATTCAATGGAGATGCGTAATTCCTTTTCTCATTTTTTTCTATGATGTTTGTTGACAAAGTCTATTCTTGTCAGTGCTTGTGCTTGAAATTTTGTCATCCTTTTTGTCATGAAAACTGTCTTGTAACCTCACTTCACACACAATACGATTGTGGTTACCACTGTTTCAGTCTTAGGTAGACAGATGATATGACCTTTGCAGGAGTATTATTCTTTGTTCTTCTTTCCTTTCTGTTCATGCACTTGGCTAAGTCTATAACCTTTGATAGACAATGTGCTCGTATCAATCCCATACACTTGGAGGCATCAGGTCAAAGGGAGATAACTCTGTGAAAGACTACCTAATAATTGTAACAAAAGCTCAAATGAAGAAAGTGAGAAAATTCAAAGATGTCTTTATTGTGCAACATTGCAATATCTTTGAATTTCTTCAGTTTATGGATTCTCAGTGTATTAATAAACATGTTTTACCAATGTGCTACTGTGAAGCTTGCATTCCTGTCAACACAGGTGAACTGAGGATGGAACTCAATTAGTTCTTGATTATTAAAGGTGAAATACAAAACCATATTTCAGAGAAGTCTTCTGAGATCTCTGCCATTCTCTACTAAATGGCAGGGGCACAATTAAAAGTCTTCATCAATAAACAACCTGCCAGAATGTGTATCTATGTTACTGATAATCATTATATGAGCTGATGGGCACCAGATTATGTAACAACTTCATTAAGTTGAGGTGCAACCTGAGTTTGCTTCCTTTGAATTATTCTCACACAAATTTACACTTATCTGGTTACAGCATTCACTGTGTATGTGAGTTTCATTCCCCCCATGGATTTATTTGTTGATTGCTGGTGTTACCCGGCATGATGTTGGTGGAATACAGCTAAAAGTGGCGTAAAACAATATTAACTCATGTCTGAAGCTAATATGTGTGCATAAACACATCTTGTGAAATTGAAGTATCAATTTGTGTGATGGCCAGCATTACCTTTTTATTATGATCAACTTTTATTTAATGGTTTAATTAATGGTAGAATTTGGGAAGGGGGCTGCATACTTACTTTATGACCAGGGTTAGTAGGAAAAAAAAACATACCTCAACTCGATTTATGTCATGTGATGATACAGGTTCTGGAAGACATTAGATAGTGCTCACTGACGACCTTCGATCCAGGTTTGAAGGTACAGAACACATGTAGTGAACTGCTTGGATTGCTCAATGGATTCCCTACTTACCTATACAATCATGTATCGTGTCTGTTTAGTTCATTATTACACACTATGAATGTGAGTATATCACAGGATCGTGAAATTCTTGTATTCACATTTCCTGAACAAATTGGTTGAGTTTGTAATGGCCAGAGATCAAAATGTTTCACAGAGACTTCAGGTTTTTTCAGTGAATCATGAGAAACGGTCTTCACTGTGAATCAGGTATTTGAATGAAATTTGTGACAGTTCTCCTAGACTTGCTTCATGATCATAATTTGACCTGCAGGTTGTCAACTTGTATTTTTATAGACCATCAGGTACTTCTGTCAGCTTCATCCTTCAAGCCCAATCAGATACTTCACACACCTTCAACATTTTGATGCAAAGCCCATTTCTGGTGTCCCCCGCTATGATATTGCTGGAATATTGCTAAAAGCAGTGTGAAAGTAAACTCACTCACTCACTCAGCATTTGGATGTCACTGAGGTCATTCCAACAGGTTACTGACAAACATTGGCTGAAATGTGGTGTGTGTTGGACTCATGGTATACTTTTCGCCTTGTTCTATCTTCTTTACAAACTGGAGGAATGTCGGAAAATAGCTTTGGACATAATTCTACATTACTACTCCACTAGCCTGAAACTTTTACTGATGATACTTGATTCAGACTTTCCAACAAATAGTAGTTGTTTTCCTAGAGTCACGCCGAAGACCCGGGTTCGAATCCCCACATGGGTACAATGTGTGAAGCCCATTTCTGGTGTCCCCCGCCGTGATGTTGCTGGAATATTGCTAAAAGCGGCGTAAAACCAAACTCAGTCAGTCAGTCAGTGTTTTCCTAGAGCCCTAAAACATGTTACATGGGATATCAATCACTCATTTGAAACTTCCTTTCAGAGGTAAAATGGTTCTTTAAGCAGAGACCAAAAACATATTCTGTCTTTGGCAAAGATTGCCGGTGTGCGTATTAATTGATTGTAGCAGCACTAAACATCAAGGACCTTGGTCAGTCTAAGCTGTCTTCCTGTTCCAAGCCATTCAGTAACATGTGAAAATCTGTCTCTGGTTTAAGTAACTGCACTCTTGGTCCTTGAAGGGTTGTAATGACAGTATGGATGTTCAAAGACAAATGCTATGTCAAGAGAGCTGGTACAGTGTGCAGAAAGAAGGTTAAAGTCAGCAGGGTCAGCTAAAATACTCACCACTTGAAGACGATCACCTGCTTGTCGTCTACACACAAAATACAGAACACTGTGTTCAAGAAGGGTTACATTTTGTAATTTTGTATGTATATTGTACGTTGTGTATTGTGAGTGTTTTTTGTGGATTGTCTTCTCGTTAGAATTTTCTAATTCTAGTCTTGACAATACGGAACAATACAGAAACTGCTTTCAAAAAGCAAATATTCATGATTTTGGTGATTTTTGTTGAAAGATTAGTATGATGAGATATCCACGCCATGTAGAGAAATATGTACCATTTGGACTGGTTTGGGCACCTCCAGCCATAAACCCTCAAAAGAAGAATTGTCAGTGTTCTATGAATGATATCATTACCAAAGTTAGAAGACCTAAGAATATGGTGTGTCCCAAATAAAACCGGTTCTCTTGCCCAAAGTCATCATTCTCATGTGCACTGTCGTTCTGTGCTGTGTTCTTTCAACATGAAATCCTAGGTTTGTTCTCTACAGATATAGCACAAAGGTCTGTTGAAATGTGTGTAAGGTGCCCAGTTCAGTAAACATTAGGAGAAACCCAAGATATTTCTGAATGTCATAGAAGGTTTAAAAGTCTGATGTCGGATGCAGTACTGAAATTATTACAAAGCCGTGTCCCAGTGCAGAATTACATCAGCTGAAGTTGTGGCACATTGTAAGACACTTGTATTTATACAGTTCATATCATCTCATCTTTCAAAGTACACAGGCCAACCACAGCCTGCCTTGGCTGTCTCTGCAGTAACCCAGACAAGATTTTGTTGAATGGACAGCTTGCAGACCAGTTACGCCCCCCACCATCCACAAACCTAACGAGTGGCATATCTGACATCTAACTTTTGAACTGAACCCTACAAAATGTGATATAGGTGAGTGTTTAAGAATGTGCAGAAGAAGAAACGGTGCTTCAGATGTTTTAAGTAAGGTAAAGAAATATTTTATTTCTGATACCAGAATTTATACTGCATGGCACCAAAGGTAGATGTGTTGGGTTGCAGACCATCAAGCCGTGTTCAGTTGTCATACTACACAAGTGTTGTCTTTGTAACGCTTGTATTACATGTAACTTATATAAATATGTTTGTAAGATATTAAACACACATTATATATAATACTTGTAAATTGAGCTACTTTTAGGGCTTGTAGTCCTCCCGCTTGTTTTGTTTTGTATAAATGAATATATTATTTCATTGTTACCAGTGCTACCCATTTTCCTAGGAATCATTTACTGAATTGGTTTGACGCTCTCATTCAACCTACATTTATTTATGCCAATCCTTTTATATTGTGAAACAGCTGTGACCCATGGTAGAGTGCAAGTGTTAACATGGTGTGGTTCAACAAAGACTTTGTCATACACTTTGTACAAAATCCCAGCTTGGCTGTTATGTGCAGAATGATATTCATAAACTTGTAGTTGCATCTAAAAATGATGGATGAGATAAATCTGACATTATGTAGACAATCGAAGACCTCTATCCAAGGATACACCCATGTTCAGAAACCTATTCCTGCCTTGTAAAGCTAATTCTTGAGGAATGATAATTCTCTAATGTATCACAATTTGATTTTCTTCTTTGTATACACAATTAGCTTGGTTCTGATGCACTATGTATTGTTTCTGTATTCTATATACAAAATGCTTCTATTTGTCTGCTCTCTAACTACTGATACTATTCACAACTGGGCATAATCATAACTATGTTACTCCTAATGCAGGTAAGTGCTTATCATTTTCATGAAATAGGTATTGTGACATAACAGTAATGTTTCAGCAGTACTAAACGTAATGTCCCTTGAAATGTTCAACTGACTTTGTTAGAAGTGAAAGCTCTTCAACTATTCCCTTTATGATGAACAGGGAGTGTTGCCTCGTCCCAACAACTACCTGGGTTTGATATGGAACAATGATTTGGCTGGAAATGAATTAGTGTAAAATCCTCACTCACTATCATGAGGACTGGAAACATTGGGAGACAGGATCTCTTAGCTGCAGTATTTACCATCTTCATGCGTCACAGATCATATTGTCTTAACGCACACAATGCAAAATCTGAACTTTGTGTCCTTGGTTCAGTCCCAGCGATAACACTTAGAGGTATCATTTTTTGAATTCATCAGTTCATTTATAAAGTTAGCCCCCAGACTCAAATGTGAATGCAGTGAATCCCAGGAACTGGAAGCCCAGGCCACATTCCACTCATAAAGTTAAATATGATTGTGAATCTTCACCTGAGTTCTGGGACAGATTTTACACATATTGACTGTTGTATGAAAGTATGGTTGCAAAAATTAAATGCATTCTACAAGTTTGTTTTGATCATGTTAAGGCTTGATTTTGAAAAGTTAGGTGATGTAAATACTAATGGCAATTAATCTTTCAGTAAATTCTCAGATTTGGTCACATATAATTCCTCGTGATATTTGGTCAAAATGATCTTTGTCATGGAATGATTTTAGAAATTCTTGTCATTCTGATTATTTTCCTTCTGAAGTGTAAATATTTTGGTTGGTGGATGCAGAAACCAAACTAGAAATAATGTAAGGCTGTCTTCCGTTATAGTGACCAAGCAGAGTTCAAGAATGATGACAAATTTTATGGATATACAACTTCTTTTATTGTGAAAGGCGTTGTTTTGACATAGATTCTCATGTCGTTGTCAAGCAAGTGACAATCAGTCTCCTTTCACAATAAAAGTTGTATATCCATAAAAATTGTCATCATTCTTCATCAACTCAACTTCTAAATGCTGAGTTCATGTGAACATCAAGTCTTTGAATGAATATGTCTCTATTGCAAATGCTTCTTACCAACATAAAATATCACTGGTAGACAGGTTGCTATCACTATGCCACCAGGGATTCACACATTGTGAAGCAGTCCTTATTACATTGTTTTTGTCCCCAGAGACAGCTGACCCCTCCCCTTAAACCCCTCCCTTCCTCTCTAGTAGCTTGCAGTGTTCTCTTTGCATTCCATACTCTTCTGTATGTTCTCAATTATTTTGTATAGATCTCAGAAATACATTTGCACAATTGTTCCCTTTTGCTTAGAGCAGTGTTTAAAGTTTTTTAGTGTTGTAAAAATTATTAGTTTCACTTCATTACGACGAGGGGGTTTAGTGTGCCCTTAGATTCGATTTTTAGGTCTCTGAAAAATGAACATTAGTGTAGGATTTGTTTTTCTTATTTCAGTATTTAGGCACATAAAATGTTTTAACTAGTTTGCTTTAAGTTTCAGCAGTGTTCACGAATGGTGTTTCAGTCACAGGACATTGGGTCCTGTAAGTTTCAGATGTCTGCCTGACCCATTGAAAATGTATGGGACCCATGGAATAAAATTAAACACACATTTCAGATTTAATATTTCTTATAATTGACATTGAAATTATTAACAAACATAAGATTTATAAACAGCAAACAAGTGTCACATGTCACATAAAACAACTTCAGTCAAAGTCATTGTGAAATATACAGTCAGACACTGGGGCCGGCGGGTTGTAGACTTCTGTCTGACCGTTTGGCGAATCTGCCAGATTTGTCAGAGGGTCAGACGCTATTTGTGAACACTGCGTTTGAAGTCCAGACCATTTCAATGTTGTTTTCATATCTCTGGAATTATGGAGTTTGAAAAATACAATTTATAAAATGTTGATGCCTTCAGATACGGATTACCACAAGTATTGCCATTTAGGGATTGTAAAGAAAGGAAAGTCTTTCTGAGCTTAGTAATCAGATAAAGTACTTGGGTGATATAGACCTGCTTCTACCTTAGCACATTCTAATGTATTTAGTTTGTAATTTGTAAAGTAATAAAAGCATCAGCCTGTTTGTATGGTAGCCTAATGCATTAGATGTTCAACAACCCTTGAGGACACAAGAAAATCTGTATCAGTAACTGTTTCCTTGCAGTAAACATTGTATAATGCCATGAAACAAGTAATTGAATTGGTCTGGCCTGAAGAAACAATGAAGCATCAGTTGTCAAAATACAAATACATTTCTTGACCTTCCCAGGGAATAATTAAAAGATTGCAAGGATTTTTATCTGATGCTTTTGTTGTAGCAGGGTGTTTGGAAACAAAACCATATCAAATGATAGCTAATGCTTTTGACAGAAATGCTTCCCAATTTGAAAAGAATTCTAGAAATTTAATTTAGAAATACCCATCAGCAGATATTTTTTACGATGGTATGCCTTGTGATGTCATAGTCAGACCTTATGTATGGTATGGAGATTGCCTATTTTGCCATCAATGTTTGCTGTTATCAAAACATGAAAATCAAATATTGTTTGTATCAGATTATTTCTTCATGTAAATATTTCCAGTGTTAGCAACTTCATGTTTTTTCCCATTGAATTGTACAAACATCTTCACACACTTAGCATTGAGGAACGTTTTAAATTTTCAATCTTCAATGTTCCTGGCCATTTCTTCTTTGCATTGGCTTCGGATGTATTACTGACTGTTTCATTGCTATGTTCTGTCATTTACTAAGAAACCTGGTTACTTTGGACTACTGTTCCCAGGGATATTGTCAGTGTTTACAAATTACAGATCAGATTCCAAATGATGGATAAATCAGGGTAGACATGTTTGGTCATATCTTATTCTTCTGTGGGTTATTTCAGGCTAGTAACTCCTGTTACATAACTACATTTGAGGGTTAAAGATCTAGTCCCTTCAGATTTCCGCTAGTCTCAGACTACTGGACTTGCAGCCATGTCTGTCTGTGTTCAGAGTAGGGGTCCTTTTGGTAGAAACACTTCCCCAACTAGATTGCCTGGAATTGAGGGGTTGTGGGTTTACAGTGTCCAGATTAGCAAGGTTTCAGGAAAGTTATGCTACTTAAGCAGATATGTTCAGTCTGCTTGAGAACATTATAATCAGTAAATGTAATGTGAAGAAAACAGGTTTTGTCTGTCTTCGGGTAATTTAACTTGTGATTTATGATGTCCCAGAAAATGCACTTCTGGCCTTACTTTGCATTATTAAAATATAGCAATCATCAACTGTAAAACAAATCTTGTGTATTAATTAGAAGAATCTAGGGACTGTTTTTCAGAACATTTTCAGATAGATGTGATTTTCAATCTCTAGTTGAGATCTGTGACACCTGTGTTACAGTATGATTCATGACTACTCACTCAGTGATTACTAAAGGTATGTCTAAATGGCCAGTTTTTTCCGGGGGGTTATGAATGATTTTAATCAAGTCCCACTCTGCAACAATATTCATGTCATTGTATCCATTTTATACCTGATTAGGTAACTGACCCCATGCCTGGTGCTTTGAACGAGCTTTTTATATTGTAATTGGCATTAAATGTGAGCAGCAGGAGAAGAACCTGTATCAGATGTTGTCTAGGTTGTGTGGAGGGGACGTAGGAGTAGGGGTCAAGTGCCTAATCATAACACTTCTGGTCCTAAATCGTGCGTGAAGTAGCATTCCTTATTAAAAATGAAGTGAAAAATCATGTACAAAATAAAATCGTGATATAATATGTTAAAGTGTTGTTATAAGTTCATTAACCATGGTCAGAGAGGAGGCATCCTGGATGAAGATGGTGTGATCAGTGTAGCCAGTCCTGGAGAGAGGAATGCTAATTTACAGCATTACGAACTACAGTGCTGGAGAGAGGAATGTTGATATACAGCATCAGGAACTGCAGTGCTGGAGAGAGGAATGTTTATTTACAGCATCAGGAACTGCAGTGCTGGAGAGAGGAATGTTTATTTACAGCATTACGAACTACAGTGCTGGAGAGAGGAATGTTGATTTACAGCATCAGGAACTGCAGTGCTGGAGAGAGGAATGTTTATTTACAGCATTACGAACTACAGTGCTGGAGAGAGGAATGTTGATTTACAGCATCAGGAACTGCAGTGCTGGAGAGAGGAATGTTGATTTACAGCATCAGGAACTGCAGTGCTGGAGAGGAATGCTGAGTTAGAGCATCAGGAACTGCAGTGCTGGAGAGAGGAATGCTGAGTTAGAGCATCAGGAACTGCAGTGCTGGAGAGAGGAATGCTGAGTTAGAGCATCAGGAACTGCAGTGCTGGAGAGAGGAATGCTGAGTTAGAGCATCAGGAACTGCAGTGCTGGAGAGAGGAATGCTGAGTTAGAGCATCAGGAACTGCAGTGCTGGAGAGAGGAATGCTGAGTTACAGCATCAGGAACTGCAGTGCTGGAGAGGAATGCTGAGTTACAGCATCAGGAACTGCAGTGCTGGAGAGAGGAATGTTGATATACAGCATCAGAACTGCAGTGCTGGAGAGAGGAATGTTTATTTACAGCATCAGGAACTGCAGTGCTGGAGAGAGGAATGTTTATTTACAGCATTACTTAACTACAGTGCTGGAGAGAGGAATGTTGATTTACAGCATCAGGAACTGCAGTGCTGGAGAGAGAATGTTTATTTACAGCATTACGAACTACAGTGCTGGAGAGAGGAATGTTGATTTACAGCATCAGGAACTGCAGTGCTGGAGAGAGGAATGTTGATTTACAGCATCAGGAACTGCAGTGCTGGAGAGGAATGCTGAGTTAGAGCATCAGGAACTGCAGTGCTGGAGAGAGGAATGCTGAGTTAGAGCATCAGGAACTGCAGTGCTGGAGAGAGGAATGCTGAGTTAGAGCATCAGGAACTGCAGTGCTGGAGAGAGGAATGCTGAGTTAGAGCATCAGGAACTGCAGTGCTGGAGAGAGGAATGCTGAGTTACAGCATCAGGAACTGCAGTGCTGGAGAGGAATGCTGAGTTACAGCATCAGGAACTGTAGTGCTGGAGAGGAATGCTGAGTTACAGCATCAGGAACTGCAGTGCTGGAGAGGAATGCTGAGTTACAGCATCAGGAACTGCAGTGCTGGAGAGAGGAATGTTGATTTACAGCATCAGGAGCTGCACTGCTGGAGTGAGGAATTCTGATTTACAGCATCAGGAACTGCAGTGCTGGAGAGAGGAATGCTGAGTTACAGCAACAGTATGGTATTTTCTTTTCTTTCAATGCCACAACAAGGCATTTTTCTTGCTGATATGACAGCCAGAAGATAATGAAATCTAGACCAGACAATCCATTGTATTGTGAAAACAGTCCACATTGGTTACACCATCCACTTGTCTGAGTCCAGCATATATTGGTGGGTTCATTGTGATTTATATGTTAACATACTTCAGTTCACATGATATGTTAACATACTTCAGTTCACATCAAATTATTACATACTTCAGTTCACATCTAATGTAAACATACTTCAGTTCACATGTAATTATTACATACGTCAGTTCACA